AGCAAGACCAACCGACTCACCCGCCCCGCGCACCTCCTCCGGCCTACCCTCCCTCGCCCCAGGGAGTGGTGGTGGGGCGCTGGGAGCGCTCTGGGCAGCGCCCCGCTCGACTCCCTCCCTCCCTCCTGCCTTCCTCCCTTCCCAGCAACCCCTGGGCTCATCTGCAGACAGGCTCCGCCCCCTCTCCCCACAGTCTTTCTGTCTTTGCCTCTGCTCTTCCGGGCCCTCACTCCCGTTCTTGATTGAAAAAATCAACGCTGCCCTTGAAAAAACCTCCCCCAGGAGACCAGGGAGAGGCGGAGCAAAGCCGTAGCGAGAAAGTACGCTCCGCCTCTCCCTGGTCCGGTGGGGGTTCCCCCAGCTATTTTAGTAGAGGATAATTCCACATTTTAAATTTCATGTGTAACTATTATAAGTTTGTCACACATTGTACCCCAAATTCAGTTGTTGGTATGTTCAGAAACAGGAGCAGCCCGAGGCCAGCTGTGGCAGCTGGCACCCCAGGCAGAACACGCCATCGGTGCCCCCACCTACACGGCCGTCAATGGCATGACGTAATCATCGAGCGCCCGGTTGAACGCGGCACCCTAGATGACCACCAAGTCTGCCTATACTCATGGGCTGCCCCCTGTTCAGAAATATATTAGGAAGAGAGTAACAGCTGCTGATTCCTGGGGCTGTTTAACTGGCTAGAAGAAACAGACTAGCTCCATGATTACAAAGAAGTTTCTGGATGTTTTATCTGGGTTGAAGAGTCTTCACTTCATGTTGTATTTGGGTTGAAGAGACAGGATGGGGAACCTCAGGCCCAGAGGGGCCAACGCGGCTCCTGGCTTGCCTGGATCCAGCCCCCAAGGCTCAGGGCCCCCCTACCCCGGTATTGGGACACCCATGCTAGCACTCCACTCCCCCCCACCTGACCCTCCTGCACCGCTGAGCACACTATCTACTAGGCTAGGTTCTGTTGTGTGAAGGAAACATGGGGAGTGTCTTTCTCCTTCTCAGTTGGGGGCCACAGTAAGGGCTTGGGGGTTTTTTTGTTTCTCCTGGTGTGCAGTCCCCAATTGATTTTGTGGGTCGGTGGCCCCTGACCCAAAAAAGTTTCCCCATTAGAGCTGCTCATACAAATAAGGGCCAGAGGATCAAGTTTTACCTAAGACCTGCAAAGGAAACAAAATTCCGTGTTGCTTTGTGATTAATCAAGCAAACAAAGACCTTTCCACTTCCCCCTCCCACCCCCCAAAAAAAAGATTTGCTCCTTCCACAGAAATTTTATCTGACCTGAGTTTCATTAAAGGTATGGTGGCTGCCTGCAAAAACAGTAAGTTTATGCCATCTCACTTTTAAAGGAAATAAAAACCTGTTTACCTGAGAGCGGAAATTATTTTAATTCAGTCTGGTGGGGTTTTTTTTTTTTTAAGTTAGCAAAACATTTAGAACAAAAGCTCTCTGCATCAACATTGTTTCTCCTCCAAGGACCTCCACTGCAATTGTTTTAAGATTAGACGCATGCACTGATGTAACCAAATAGATTTAAAATCTAGTTACATAGGTTCTAGCCCTTAATACAGATGCACTTAAGCAATTTTTAAATCACCCAAACAGATTCATTGATTTAAAATGATTACATATAAATGATTACATTAGAACTGGCGTTCTAGATCAGTGGTTCCCAACCTTTTTGAACATACAGACCCTTTTTCAATCAATTAAAATTTCACAGACCCCCCCCTCCCTGGCGAGAAAGAAAAAGGAAAAGAAAAGTAAGGATCAGGCCCACTATGGTGAGCTCAATACTTTTTTTAAAAAAAATTTCCAGCAGTACTGTCGCAGAGCACCAGGGATCCGCAGACCACAAGCTGGGAACCACGGTTCTAGGTGATCTTGGGCAAATTACTTCAACTCTTTGCTCCAGTTTCCTCATCCATAAAATGGGGATAATGACACTATGTAAAATTCTGTGTCAGGGCAAGGTATACTAACTTTTTGTATCCCAGTGTACTAAATTAAGTACATCAATGTTTAATTTCACAACTGTAATTTTCTAATACAAACACTTAGTTATCACAGTAAGAAAAAAATCAAGTAGAAACCACAACTCCACTTTTTTCTTTTAACTGCTGAAAACCTTTGACTTTTTTCTGTACATCCTAAAAAAGTTTTTCAAAACAAAGAATCTCAAATCCATTTTTACCCTTTCCAAGTAGTCTTTAAATAGGAAGAAAACATCATATATATAGACTTTGAAATGATTAAACATTTCATGCAAAAAACATGTTGAGAGTTGCAAACCATCTGTATGAGAGGCAGCAGCATGGGGCAGGGGAGAGGGAAGGAGTCAGTGCTCATGGGCAGTAAGGATCTTAGAAACTTTTTTTGTAAATGTGTAACAATACAGAGGTACAGTGGGCTTTTAAACTGGCTTCCTGTGAGCACTGGCTCCCATCTGCCCTCCGTCTGATAGAGACAGCAGCACGGGGTGGGGGTGGGGAATGGTGCTTGAAAGCTGGCATCCTGAATGTACCCCTTCTCCTGCTCCCACGTTGCTGCTTCTGTCAGCAGTGCAGGGGGAAGGTAGCTCCATAGGAGTGAGGGGGAAATCTCGCTCCCCTGGGGTACAGAGCCCCCAGAAGGGTCCGAGGCCAGAGGTCAAATCAGTGAGGCAGGAGAGAAACCTAGAAGGAAAAACTTTATGATGCATGCATGCAGGCTGTCACTTCCAAGAGTGAAAGCAGCAGCAATGAGAGACAGATTCAGGTATCCTATATACAGAATGCTTAGACAGTTCAGTTGTTGATTGTTCTTCTTTAACATATCAAAGTCTCAGCAGAAGTACTCTGAGACTTCTGTTCACCCCAGGAGTGCTAGAAGTAAGTTTTTACAGTACACAAAGCCACATGAGAACTTGAGTGGAGGAGTCTACAAGGCAAACTGTGACAAAGATAAGGGTTTACATGACAAATTGTGACAGACTAGGAGTATCCATGAATTTGAGATAGTCATTTGTAAGGGTCTTTGATTAGAGCTAATTTGATTTCTCTCTGTTACAGGGAGAAAGGCCTGGAAAACTTTTTAACCCTTACAGCAGTTTTCTTTTAGAAAGTTATGATTTCTGCACAGTCTCCCCTTAGACACAATTGGAGTTATTTGATTTTTCTCCCACACCTCCAAGATGCCTATTTGCATGTAACCATCCACCCCTCCCACAGACGCTACCTACGCTTCACGTTGGAACTAGACCATTTCCAGTACAAGGTTCTTCCCTTCGGTCTCTCATCAGCTCCGAGGGTATTTTCGAAGGTACTGGCGGTCGTAACTGCGTATCTCAGACAGCAGAACGTCATCATATTTCCCTATCTAGATGACTGCCTTCTAAAGGGATCCTCATACGCCGAAACCGCCTCTATGATACATATGACCATGGCCCTCCTCAGTCGTCTAGGCCTTCTAGTCAACCAAGACAAATCAATTCTGCACCCGGTTCAAGATATAGAGTTCATTGGCGCATGCCTGGACTCAGTTACAGCCCGGGCATACCTACCTCAGCAACGCTTTGCAACCATGCAAGAAATTATAAACAGGATGCTCACAGTTCCTACCACCACAGTACTTACATGCCTCCGACTAATGGGACACATCACTTCCATCACTTATGTAGTCCACCATGCTCGTCTGCACTTTCAATGTTTTCAGCTCTGGATTGCAACCGTTTATATCCCATCACGACACCCTTGAAACAAAACGGTTACTATCCCACCAGACGTGCTCGCATCCTTA